TGACTTTTTTACCTTCACGAGTTTTTAACAAGCACTGCTGACGTCAGATCTCTCAGAGTTTCCTTTGGTTCCGCCTGGGTTCACCGTCTTGGTGTATTTTAGTAGCAAACAACAGTGTAACAGTTGATCAAGTTCTGCACCAACAGCTTCGCCCTTCCTGCTGCACCACTCAAAACTGCTACCTTCATTCATGAGCCTCCCTTCAATATGAAAATATATGAACTGTGATTGGAAATGCCACCCCTGCCCCAGAAATGCCAACAGTCGGAAGATCGACTTAATAACAACAAATACATTTCTTTGATTCAGGGAAGCCAAAGACCTCAGAGGAACTTGAGGCCCACCCCGGCAGCGAAGAGGGGGCGTCAGAGGACAAAGAGAGCGTCCCAGAGGGAGCCATGGAGGAGGGAACCAGTGACAGCAACACGGGTTCAGAAACCACCTCCGCTCAAACGGAAGACGCCACGACTAGCGAGCCATCAGAGGGGCCCGGCAGGGCGCGAGCAGCCCACTGAGTCCGGCAGCGGGCTGCGTGTGAACTGTCAGGCTGTTGGCCGGGCTGCTGCACTCTGACGATTACAGATATTGCACAGTGTCATCTCAGTTGTCAAAGCATATGAAGAGCATTCAGATGGGCTCGATGTTTAACAAGCCTGAGGCCGAGTTCGAACACTAAGGCTCGCAGACACACTCTGAAAAAAAGGAAAAAAACAAACCTGCACTGGAAGCCGACAAAGCAATGATAAAATCAATGGCTGCTAAATGTGCCACAGAAGCCCATGTGAAAGCACTATGTATTTTCTCCACAGACTGCGTTGCCATTTGGAAGAACCCATACACGCCCTCTTCAGCACATACTGAAACATATCTTTAGCACTCTCTTCGGCAGAATCCTGACCGTCGCAATTCGACCGTCACACGAAACAAACATTGCTCAGTGTTATATTGAACTTTGTATTGTTGTGTCATTGTTGCTTTTCTTGTTATTTTTGCATGTTTTTTAAAATGAGTTGTAAAGAGTGGAGCCAAGTGACCGTCTCCTCGGCAGGAGAATATTTGTTTACTCTCTGTATCAGTATTACAGTGGCAGTATTGTCTCAGGAGTTCGTAGTCATTTAGTAGTAGCTATTTTTGTTATTTATTATCAGCTTTTTTTTAAATTATATTTGTGTATCGGTTGTCCTGGGGCCGGCCCAGTCCATCCGTGAGTATATCACATGATCATCAATGCTGTACAATGCTCAACTACCAGTGTTCTCAAGTTTGCTTGCTGTCAATCAAATCAAAAGCAGTATGCTTAGAACATTTGTGTGTTAAGATCATTATTGTGGTTTTCAACAGAAAGCCTTTAAATGTACCGTAATTGTGTACACAGTGTAACGAGGTTTGCTTAAACATGGATTTTCATAAAAAGAGCTTGAAGAACATTCATAAACATGCAGTCTTAAAATGAATTTCCTTTTGCATATTTATACCAATAAAACTTTTCTACCCTGAAGGAAACCGCTCGCTTCATTTTTACCCCTCGGCCACAAAAGGTTGTTGAGGTTTTGTCGTCTCCCTGGCGGGCAGGCGCATCCACACCCGAGGTTGTCAGGGATAACTCTAGAACGAAGCATAGTAGGACTTTAGATAGCATGGGGGTATCTGCTGAAAATCTCAGACAATTTTGAATCTCAATGGCCGTGGCCTAAAGGTCAGAGTTCAAGTTTTCTGAAAATCTTGTTAATGCAATGACTTGAGAACAAAGCAACAAAGGTCTTGATGCATGCTCAGTCATTCAGGTAAGTTGAATCAACTTTTTGGGAAAGCAACACAGGATTTTGAAATTAATACCGTAGGTATATTTGCTAGAACAGCGGTCCCCAACCGGTCCGTGAGTGGTTTGGTGCCGGACCATGAGAATTGAGGGGTGTGAAGTTCATGGTTTTCAGGGTTTTTATCGTTAACACGGTCTTTACCCGTGTTGTAGTTGTTTCTTATTTTGAAAGAAATATTTACGCGTTACCATAGCGACCAGAGAGGAGGATGTTACTCTCAATGTTGTTGGTTGTTTCAGGAGGACGCTGCTAATAAAGTTACACAATTACACAGTGAATTCACGTTTGTTATTATATTTACAAAATACCACAGTTTTTGTCTTGGTTGTATTAT